GCTGCTCCCCTTCACAGACCCTCTGGGCTGCAGCCCTGGGGGCAACAGCTGGATGGACTGGGTTCGGGCACCAAGCCTGTGGTTGCCCCAGTGCCGTGTGGGGTTTCTGCTGTCACCCCGGGTGGGCCAACTAGGCCGTGTCTGGCCCAAACGCCTAAGAGCAGGCTGCTGTCAGCAGCAGTGTCAGTACCTGCTGGCTGACGGCAGGTAGCGCTGGCTGCACTCAGCAGTGTGCCTATGTCATCTCTCCAAGCATCAGATGGTTGGGAGCGGGTTTGGCTTGCACTGCGACTGTGGGTGGCTGGTGGGGTGGCGAGTAGTACATGCTGAGTGCTTGGCCTCAGCCTCCAAATAGCCTGGACTAAAATGAACTGGGTAACAGAACAAGGTGTCTTACTCCACTACTCCTCTTATGCTTTGCTTTGTGTATCAGACTGAGGGAAAAAACCATGAGCCCTCTTGAGTGTGAGGAATAGCGCTTCTGTTACCATGCTGAATCATTGTGTCTGGGGAGGCCTGAATTCTGTATGATTAACACATTTAGTCCCATTGATGCTAAGGAAGCAGATGAGAAGATGGACTTTGAAATAAAGTATTTTTAACAGGTTATTTAAAGGAAGGATTGTAGCCTTTCAGTAGTGATGGGTTTTACACTTGTCTATACATTGTTTTGGTGGGGAGGAGTTCATGAAGGGAAGTAGCCTAAAGGTACAAAGGCAAACCATTGCAGAGACATGCTGAGTAGTCTGATTAAATGGACCAAAACAATTGAGAGAGCATACAAAAGAGCCTATCCATTGTCTGATTTCCCAACCCAAGCTATTTCCAGTGTACAGAACAGATGGAGGGGCTAAGAACAGTGCTTTTGGATACAACTGGGTCATGCAGGTAGTCCATTAAGACTTGGCCTGCATCCAGTATAGACATATGATGCTTTACTGGATCTGCACCACAAAGATGGCTTTCTGGGTAAATCTTTGTCCACTCCTGGTATTGATTCTCCTGCACAACTTATCTGTCTGGTAGTTTGCGCAATAAAAAGATAGGACTGTGGTTAAATGTTTAAAACAGTTACATGTTTACAGCACGAGAACTTCAGGAAACAACAGACTGAGAAAATAAAGGACCAAGAAGTCAGTTCCAAGGTGTATTTCCTGAAGCAGACAGTCAGTAACTCCTGTGGGACGATTGGTCTGATACATGCAGTTGCTAATAATAAAGACAAGCTGAAGCTTGGTGAGTATGAATGATCTGAAGTGCCTGAATTTCCTTTTTTTTTATGACAGAAAGATTGAGTGGGTATGGGCTATTGGAGACACCTGGGGCTTTCATGCAAGCCAAGTTGAGGCATGCTGTACTGTTCAGTTGGTAAGTGGGTCTTTCAGCTCCGGGAGAGGGGCACATGGTTTCACCTACTGCTTGAATTGCAGAAGGGAATGTACTTCAACTCAGTAGCTGCAGAGGTATCATCCTAGTGAGTATCATCCAAGAGGAAAAGGGTACACAGGGACTGGCCACAAAGTCTGTTGTAATTGGGAAGTATGTTCAGAAGTAGCTATTGACATTGGTGTTGATGTCAACTGAAGAGTTGTTCTCCATGCCACTTACTTCTAATGTGAACAGACTTGTTCAGAGTAACCTGTAAATTGGTCTTAAAATGTTTTCTTTTTGCTGGGAAAGTAGTACAGGATGATAAGGGTCTGTAAGTAGGCTTTTCCTACAGAGGTAATAGTTTTAATGGTTCCCTTCCTATAGGAAAGGCTGTAACACTGGCTTAGGCAACTGGTGAGTGGAAGTTCCTTGGAAATAGGATAACAAGTTACTGTCAAAAAAAGAGCTGTCATAGAGTCCAGGAAATACTTTATTATTCAAAGACTAGAGATCTGCAAAATTTAATTTCTTTTCATTATTCCAGGAGAACTTGAGCCCTTTGGGTGGTGTAGGATTCCACATAGGAGTTCCTTATATAAAGGAAAACACATATGGAAGGCTAAATAGGAGTAGCTTTGCTTCACTCTTCCTGAGAGGATTCTTTAAAATAACACACTCTTGATGAGCGAAACGAATGATGCAGCACATCTTTCATGTAAGACTAGAACTCAGTGGATCTCAGTACTGCACTAACTTGTTATGGAAAACCAAAGCAAGTTCATTTGAAGGCACTGGAACAACTTAATTTCATCTATGCATATTCTGTTAGTTGATACTTAAGTGTCCTTACAGCTGGCATCTTTCTTTAGTTTCTTCAAAATGGGACTGAACACCTCTGCCAAATCTGCAAGGGGGGAATCAGAAAAGTTAACTTGGAAGTGAGTTCCAAGAGAAGCATCCAGAGTACCCTGAAGCATTTACACTCTAGCTGTTGGTGTAGACTGCTGTTAATAGCTTCTGGAGAGATACTTTAAGTGATGGTTACAATAGGCTTAATGCTGGAGGTGGTTACAGGCTGAATGCGATGACTCCTAGTTAGTGCAACAAGCATTGATTATTGTGGGCTGCATCTGAGCTGTAACTGATGCTTTACCTATTCTGAATAAAATCTTTGATTGTCTTGTGCAGATGAGGGGTCTGCCCTGAAGAAGTTTCTTGATGAAACGGCTGACATGTCTCCTGAAGAGAGAGCTAAGCATTTTGCAAATAATAAGGTACATGAAGTACATAAACTGCTGATGGCTATTAGCACTTCAAGGATGTAGTAACCTGTATCTGCTTTTTCTTAAGGCTATACAAGAAGTCCACAATTCGGTTGCACAAGAAGGACAATGTCGGGTAAGAGATGAATGTGTAAAATCTTTGGAGAAGGGGTTAATGAAGGTGGTAGAGCAATACAATGTTTTGTGTGGCAGATAGCTGTTACAGCTCATGAGGAAGAGGAAATGAGTGACTTGTGGGTGAATGGTTGTGCAGGGTTTCTTCCTCAAACATGGATTGAAAATTTGGGCTCAGACCCAGTCTGAAAATGTGAACCATACATTAGGCTTTCTGGCACCTGGCCTTGTAGAGGTCTTGCAGAGACCTCTTCAGCTGAACTTGAGCTTTTAGTCCTTTGCTGTTGCTTTGTTGTTGACATCTGTCCTGTGATCACAAGTAGCATTTTCAGTACTAGTTTTTTTTCAATCTAACAGTTGTATCTAATGGTCTCTTCTAAGGTTGAGGACAACAGTGTGAACTTCCACTTCATCCTGTTTGTCAATGTGGATGGACATCTCTATGAGTTGGGTAAGGTCTTGAGAACTCTGCAGTTGAACTGGGCCTACTAGACAAGCAGTGTAAACTCCAGTGCTTCAGTACTTGTTAAACACTGTACAGCAGCGCTGGGGGCTCAGGTTAGATGCTGGGTGCTAGTTAAGCTGTTTGCTGATGCTCTTAAAGCCAATACATAAATCTTCAAGTGGAAGTATAAATTTAACTGGAGGTGGGTTGCACTGAAGGCCTAGGCCCTCTTGTAAATAAAGCACGTAATCTCCTGTAGAGCTGAGAATACTTGGTCCCCTTCTCACTCAAGCTACGTATTGACAATCTGTTCTGACGTCCCAAGTGTCTTCATGTGCGTACTTGTTTCTTGGGCCCACTGTGCTGAGTCCTGCCAATTCAGAAGTAATGCCAAGTACACTGAGTGTTAGGACTTTCTTTCACAGATGGGCGTATGCCATTTCCTGTAAACCATGGCACAAGCTCAGATGACTTGCTATTGAAGGTAAGACTTCTCCCTTGCTGCTTGTTTCCCTGAAAACAGGGCTTATAAAAGGGTGAGGGGCATGCATGCAGTGTGTACTGGCTGTATCCGCTTGCAGTACAAGCTGGTGCTTGTTATACCAAGGTAAAACAGCATTGTGCCGCAGAGCTAGAGATCTGCAAAGTGTTATTTATTGGTGTTACAAGACCTTGTAACTTGGTGGGACCCAGAGAGGAGCTGCAAAGATGTGGTCTCTACAGCAAGTGTATTCTGATCGTCTAAATAGCATGTTGGGTTTTTTTCTTCCAAGGATTCTGCTAAAATCTGCAGGCAATTTACAGAACGTGAAAAAGGAGAGGTTCGTTTTTCTGCTGTGGCTTTCTGCAAGTCTGCCTGAGATTCTGAAGAGATGCAAGGAAAGCAGTCTAATAGCACACCAGTAAACGCAGTTAAACTCCAGTGCTTCAGTACTTGTTAAACACAGCTGTTCTGGTAACTTAAATTCCACCTTTTGCTATACACAGGAGCAACATCAGCTGAGCTTATGTTAAAGAATGAGCTCAAGTTTTAATGTGAACAGTTTGGACACATCAGATGTCTTTAGACTTTTTTCACATGTTAAGTAGAAAATGCTTAACGGGGCTTGTTTAATCTGTGTTATGTTAATTGAGCTGTTGGTTGATATTTCCTTGTCCTTAATGAGAATAAAATGTTCTGCTGGAAGACTAAATGGACTGAAGTGATCACTGTAACTTTGTCCAAAAGGAGTTGTGTGGTATCCTCTATAAACCTTGTTTTTAAAGGACCCTCAAAGCTTTCTGAGCAAAAAGTTAATGTCAGCCTCAGGTTAGTAGGATAATTGTTTCTTCTAGTATGCCAAAGGCCTCCAAGGATGGAGAGATGCACCACTGTCTGTGTTCCATGTTCCAGCGCTGTCCTACCCTTTTGGCAAAGCTTTTCCTAATGTCCAGTATGAAAGTTAAGCTGCAATTTGCCACCCTGAATACATTTATTTTAGCTAGAGGGGTAAGGTGGTGTGATAAACACTCAAATGACAACTTAAAGAAAGCTGTCTGCTCTTAGACAGAGGCGACTTGTATTAATGCTGCAAGCAACAGAATACCCACTGAACCGGTTGGTGATCTGTTCCTTTATAGGAGACTGAATATTACAACAGGTTTTTTTTCTTAGCTGTAACTAAAAAGTCTGCTGGCTAAGACTGAACACAATCCTTGGCTGGCCAGTGTGCGCTTACTTGTGTGACCATGTTAGGAAGGCCTTGAAAGAGGCTATACTGTCTGTCCCTTCAAAAGTGACCTAAAAAAGGAGAAACCCACACTACATGAATCTTTAATAGCAGGATGAAATTTTGGGTTCAAGGGTAAGAAAGATACTAAATATATACTACATATTCCTTGGCCTCAACTGTGACCACCTGTGGTAATGATTCTCCCCTGGCTCTAGCTGCTGTTTATCTGCAGCTCCCTGCTGGTACCTCCGGTAGCTGTAAAGAGGGATAAAACACCCTTCAACGGGGGCCTGTCTCCTCATGCGTTGTGTCCCAGGCTGTGCCTGCCAGCCATGTTGTGTGGTGCCAGGTAACTGGGGTTCTTAGGTGGTCACTGGTGCTCTGTGTGTGCTGCAAACTGTTGCTGGCTTCCAGGCTTTTCGGAAGGGTGATTCAAAACATAAGCTTTGATTAAAGCCATGCATGGTCTGAGGGTGTTTGGTATTGGGCCTTGTTATGGCTGATGCAGTTACCCGATAGCTGAAGCTAGAAGGTGGTTGCAACATACTTTAATTCAAATTCTGAGGACTAGCTAAAGTGAAGAGCACTTCAGTTCTGAACATCAGCCTCTTTCAGTTCCGGTTAGCAGAGAGGTGAAAGCTACCTGCCAGGAAAAGGTCTTGTTATGTGTCACTTGCTGTTCTCTACAGCAGCACTTTGCTCTGCCTGTTAGTGGAGGTAGTTGCAGGGCGGAGGGAGGCCTCCTGGGGCATCTCTGCTGCAGCCTCCTGCTCCAGCGCAGGCTCGGAGCCATGCCTGCAGCTCAGGCTGCTAAGCAACGAAGCCTGCAAGAGGAAACGCATGTGGCATGAGCACAGGAGGATGGAAGGAGCAATAAAAATTAGGTATGGTAGGAGGAGGGAGCATGAGAGAGAGCAGAGCCCAATCAGCTGTATGCCGTACCTGGGGGAGCATGCTTTAATTCTGCAGGGCGCCCTTTTCCTGCCTCTAAGGCCATCGACAAGGGTACCTGCCATAACTGTGCCTGTGTACTGTTACACAGGCAGTCAGTCAATGCTGAAGCAACTTGAAAGTGCCTTTGAGATACTACTGTATTTTTTTATAGTGATTGCAGCAGTCAAATGTTTCTGGTTTCATTTTTTTCCTTCTTTCTAATCTAGCAGTATATATCTCTAGTGCTACTGAAGTTTAAATTTTAGTGTTCCATAAACTTCTTTTCACTCTTTTGCTCAAGCTTCTGGGTTAAGAATCTACTGGAAGGCAACATTTGAATAATTTTAGCCTCATGGAAAAACAGGGAAAGGGTTGTGACAGACCTTTCTTGTTCTCTCACCTTCTAGTCCCAGGTACAGCTTCAAAGGATGGAAATAAAGAGAACAACTAAGGAATGAAAATTATCCGTCCACTCAAGTATAACATCACTAGCAGGGCTGTTTTGCCTTGCTGCTGTTAGCACAGGGGCCTGGCAAACAGCTATGCTTTACTTTAAAACAGCCTGGGTAGAAAGAGGAAGAGGAGTTGCTGGGGATGGCAAAGATCTCAGGAGTTGGGATAGAGCTGTTTCAGATGAAGCAGGTCTCAAACGATGGGCGAGGATCTGTAAGCTGAATAGATCAAAGCTTTTGTGACACAGTGCAGCTGTTCCACATGTGATACCGCGTTCAGAAGAAAAGTCACGATACATGGAAGTGTGTTATGTGCCAAGCCAAAACCATATAGAATAAGCCATAAATAGAAAATGTGGAAGATGTTTTAAGGTCATATCAGGTGTGTATGATCTCAAAATAAATACTTTAAGTGCTTATTTCCCAGCTAGTTTTACCTACTTGCAAGTTTTTGAATTTTAATCTTTGTCCATTGTTTTACACTTTAGCGGAAGAGTTTGGACCAAGAGGTGTGAATGTAGGCTTGTTTAGAGTGCTGTGTATTTGCACATTGTTTTCATGAGAAGATGCTCTCTGATAATTTAATATTTTCTGTTGGTCACAGCCTATCTGACATGAAGCTCATTTTGTTTCTTACCTCCTTGTTTTCTCCTCCTTGTTTTTTATCTTAAATCTGTAGTTCCATATGGAACTGTTACCTTTTGTGGATTTCCTGTGCATTCTCCTTCATTAAATTAGCTCTCTTGACCCTCTCCACTTCTTATCTAAAACCCTACATGTTTTTCCTGAACTTACCACTGAATTTTCACTGTGACAACTACTGAGAAGGGCAGGAGCTTGTGAAGCCCGTTTTTTGTTTTCTGCCTGCGCTGAAAGAAACCTCTGACTGGCTGTTGCCACTCTGCTCTTCCAGGTATGCGAGGGGTCTATTGAGCAAATACTGAGTTTGAATTAACAGGTTCCTGCCATTTTTGTGCAGCCTTCCAGAGGTGGAATTTTAACAGAACTATCCTTGGAAATATTTGAGCAGTATCTAAGAATCTCAGATAGGGGTTCAGGTTTATCTGTTTAGACCTGCATATTGCTTAATTTAGAACCGTATCCAGGGTTGACTGTGCATAATCTATCATTTGCTTAATAATTTTCTTCTCTGCTGTGTTGAAAGCTGTAGTTAACCTGTTCTGTAGGTGGCAGCATTGGGAAACTTTCAGCAACAAGTCTGGTTCAGGAGCCACCAATGGCAAAATGATCCAGGCACAATTTTAGTCAACCATGAATGTAATGTTAAGTCCACGGGTAGTCCTACTGCTTTCATGGAACCACTCACATGCTTAAGCACCCTGCTGATTTCAGAGCCAAATATCCAATCCTTAATTTAGTCAAAAAGTTAACTTAAGCATGATAAAACATCCAAAGCCTCTTGCACATTTCCATAGCCTTTGGCTTAGGTCCATAGCTTATTTGCAGCTGATGCAGCACCACACCACCTCTTTGTCCAGTATATACTGCTGTACAATATATGCACTACTCTTTCCATGCTAAATGGGATTCTTTTTTGGGGGAGGAAGGAAAGAGGGGGAATAACTCCAGCAGCATCCAGCTTTTGAGGTGCAGACCAGTTTATTTGGACTCGATGATATTAGAGGTCTTTTTCAACCTAGTGGTTCTATGATGAATCTATAAACATTGAAGATGGAGAAGTAGTTACCTGAAAAAGGGGAGTAGACATACTAGTATCCTCTGCCTTTGCAAAGGCACTGGGGAGCTCTAGGGGCGAGCCCCACCAGCCTGTGTGCTGGATGTAGGGGAACATAAGCGACTGGCAATAAACTCGTAGTCAGAGGATCCCTCTCCTGGTGCTGCTGACAGCCTGGAAGGGGCTGATGACAGGACTGTAGCTCAGTGAGACTGTGGACCAAATAGGAGTAAACAAGAACTGGGAAAAATGCAGCCAGAAGCTGAGTAACAACATAAAAATTCCTTTGTGATCAAAGGAATTAAAATATCGCTCGCCTTCTGTCATTTTTAAATTCTTGCACAGGGTGATATTAAGTTACAGGGAGTGGCTGTCGTTCCAAAGGGACCTCAATAGATGACAGGATGGGGCTAGAAGAAACCTCATAGAGTTCAACATGGCGAGGCGCAGAGCTTGGCACCTGGCTGGAGCCACTGCATGTCTCTGCACAGGCTGGGAGGTGATGGGCCAAGTGGCAGCCCTGCTCGGCAGGCTCTGGGGGTTATGGCAGGTGCCAAATTGAATGTAAGCCCGTGTTGTGTGCTCTCCTAGTGAGGAAGACAAATTGCATGTTATGTTGGCAGTCATACTGGGAGGAGCGAGGCCAGCGGGTAGAGGGAAGTTATTACCCATCTCTACTTGGCACCAATGCGGCTGCACCTGGAATAGCACATGCAGTTTTTGGTACCCCTGCAGTCCAAGAAGGACATGGAAGAATCTGGAGAGGGTCTGGGAGAAAGCTACTGAGGCAGCCAGAGGCATGGAGCATGAGGCCTACAAGGAGAGGTTGCTGGAGCTGGGTGTGTATAGTCTGGCACAGAGGAGACTAAGGGAAGATCTAATTGTAGCCTACAACTACCTCAAGGGCAGCTGCAAAGAAGAAAAAGCTAATTTTTTTCTTAGTAGTAGGAGATGGTATATCAAAGGGCAGTAACTACAAATTGCAGCTTGGAAAGTTCAGATTGGGACATTCAGAAACTAGAAGGGTGCTTCTTCACTGGGAAGGTAGTACAGTACTGGAACAGGTCATCAGAAGTTTGCAAGGCACCAGGATTTAACAGCTGTCCCAGGTCACCTATGACAGTATGAAAAACTGGAACAGTAATCAGTGTTTCTCCAGCCTTGGGAGCTGAGTGCTGTGCTCCTTGATGAGGAGCTAATCGTGAGTCTCTCTCTGTGCCATGTGTGGCGGTGCCGTTCCCCACAGGAAGAGCTGGAGGCTGATGCTGGTGGTGACTCCTGGTTTTCTGCTCTGGCTGGGGTGGAAGGACAAGAACGGCTGCAGGAACAGCAGGAGGAGGAGGCACAGGTTTTGTCACTGATGGGAGGGTTGTCTCTTCACAAAGAGTTGGGGAAAGCAG